GGTTAGGACCGGTCCGTGTAAAACGAAAGCTAACCGTGCACATTTTAAGGTACGGTTCCAAATGGGACTTATTTCTTTTCTAAGCGACCCCGTTTTGATACGGCTAGCAGTTCCATTTGGAACGGTTCAGACGGGTCCTGTGTAAACGAAGGCCTAACCGTGCTCATTTTAGTACGGTTCCAAATGGGACTTTTTTCTAAGCGATCCCGTTTTGATACGGCTAGCAGTTCCATTTGGAACGGTTCAGACGGGTCCTGTGTAAACGAAGGCCTAACCGTGCTCATTTTAGTACGGTTCCAAATGGGACTTATTTCTAAGCGACCCCGTTTTGATACGGCTAGCAGTTCCATTTGGAACGGTTCAGACGGGTCCTGTGTAAACGAAGGCCTAACCGTGCTCATTTTAGTACGGTTGCAAATGGGACTTTTTTATAAGCGATCCCGCTTTGATACGGCTAGCAGTTCCATTTGGAACGGTTCAGACGGGTCCTGTGTAAACGAAGGCCTAACCGTGCTCATTTTAGTACGGTTCCAAATGGGACTTTTTTCTAAGCGATCCCGTTTTGATACGGCTAGCAGTTCCATTTGGAACGGTTCAGACGGGTCCTGTGTAAACGAAGGCCTAACCGTGCTCATTTTAGTACGGTTCCAAATGGAACCGGTCTCGTGTAAACGCTGCCTAAGCCTTAATACAGCAGGTCGACAGCCAATACGAGCTACAACAAAAACACATGCAGGAACCCTGCTAGATCTAATTCTCTAACGATCATAAAGAATATTCGGCTTCGTGTGAATGTAAAAGCCTATTTTTATACACTATGCCTTTCTTGAATCTGATTAAGGGCGTTCATATCCGGGGCCAAGAGCGTAACTATTTCAAATATTCGATACACCATGAAATATTTCCTTTGCTGATAAGGCTTTGAATCAATTAGTGTTCCTTCGTAACAACATTTTCAAGATAAGATCATTGTGGCAAATGCTTACGTAGATGAACTTCCATCACTTGTTTTACGACAAAAAGCCATCTCAAGGCTAGTGGAGACAATGCGTTATGACTAATTTGTATTGTCTTAATCTGGGATGAGAAATGAACTGTTCTTGAGAACTGTCCAGAAATGGTACATTGAACAGAAAGCTTCATAAAAATACAGAAATTATGATATACTGCAGTTACATATGAGAAAAAAATGTCAAACCTGCTAGAAAAATTCTGGAATTTGCAAAGTCAAAGCACTGAGAATCAAAGCAATGTCAAAGCAAAGAAAATACGCTCACCAGTCAATTTTGTGACCCCTGTGGTGACCATCTCTTCTCACTTGCATCACATACTTATAAGAGCATGTAAGCCACAATGCAATAAATCTTTATATACAGCCTCGGCGCGAGAAAAAAGGGAGTATAATTTACATGAAGATGCCTACTCAATAATCATTAAAACAACTTTGGCAATTATTGAAAATCGAGCGACAACCGAGAAACAGGAGTAAAGGAAGCGGAAGTTGGAAACAGAGCAAAAATATATCGACTGTTAATTTTGTACCAATATTTTCGTGAAAAGTGTCGATAAATTATAACTCATTTTCTATACTGGGAAAGAAGGGAGGTATCTTTTTGGTTATGCCAATAATCTTCGTACATTTTTTGGCAGAAATCCATAATTATGTATACTCGGAGTAGCAACTTGCAACCGTCTTGATTCTATACACAAAATAGCGTGTACAGCTCTGACTATACGGTATCGAGCACTTAATGACAGACTGGTAAACAGCAATTTTTTTTACAGCTGAGTATACAAATAAATTTACTAACTAGTAGTTTTTGTTCAATACTTTGAAGTTTTATACTCTGAAGAGATGTCAGACAAAAAGTTTCAGTATGCTTCAAAATGCTTGCTTTTTAAAAGCCATTTCTAATAGCATTTAGCTGACTTGACACGGGTCATTCATTAATTAATTGACTGATTGGTTGGTATGGCTGGTTGGTTGATTGATTGGTTGCTGCAGCATATATTTTTCGCTAGTGTTTAATCACTGCTTCATTATAATTCGAACTATGACCCAAAACGCATTCGCTCGAACAACGATAATTTAAATGGGTAGAGAACTTCCCTTTCAACTGTAACATTTGCGTCCCATACAATGTAAAACAGAACGATCGGGGGTTATTTCACGCCAAAATTTGGCTAGCAGTTTTGTATGTAGTGTTAAGTGAAATTGAGGAACCCTAACATAGCTGAAAAGTTATAGATGAATATGAAATCATGTATATGTGACTGACATAAATAGAGCCAATATGCTCTTGGTAAAACCTAGAGGTATCAAAAACCTAAGCTTCCTGATTTATAACCTTCTTTAAAAATAATAAAAGCAGAATATTATGACTGGAGAATCCCACAGCACCCAGCAGTTCATAGTTTTCAAGCTGTTTCCACTATCAAAAGGTTATATAGATACAGTCATGGAACACCTGACAGCGTGCACTTGTGGGGCATGGCATAGTTTATGCTAAAAAGATAATAACAATCAAACAAAGATACATAAATACAAGGCTTTTGTGGGATTTTTCATCTGCTCTTCTCCATAAACGAAGAATACTAAGATCCAAATAATGATGAGTAGAGAATTGAGCTACGACCTAATGCTATAAATATTGAATAGGAGTATTGGTTTGGGGTTGGAATACCTAGTGAGTACAACAGTGCGATGAAATCATCGAATCTTGATGAGGGGATTACGAGCAGTTGGTTTCAGATGCAGAAGCTAATCTTAAATACATACTTAGATAATCCAGGACCAAAAGGAAGATAAGCAACAAAAATACAGATATTTCAATGGCAGAAGACATTGAAACCTAAGTTAAGGTAGGCCCTTGATTAACGTAAAGTACTTAAGGCAAACAGGAGCTTTAAAACAACTATGATAGAAAGTTGAAGAAAATGAATGGAAAGATATGAATGAAATGAAGTAAAAAGGTCTCAAGATAGACGTAGATGGAGCTGATTAGCAAAATACCCAAATTGTTTAAAGTACATCAAAATTAATGAACTAAAACAAGATAAAGACAATACAAAACAGTAAACACCCTTGAACGGAGATCAAACTTCGGACAAATAATCAAAAATTTCATTCCTGTGGTCGAGGACTTGAACGTATTTACTCCAGACAACGGACACACCGCTTCAGAAAACAATAGCTCTGGTCTCGCTGAAGACCGCTACGTGGTGGTTTTAAAGTCTTAAAAGAAAAATTCTTAATGGTGGGAAATTGAAAGTTGCTGGGACAGCCTCTTGAAAATTTTTTGGCTGCTACAAGATGAAGAATTTGAAAACGAAAGAGATGAAAAGAGCCGAAGGAGGTAAAAACAAAAGAAGACAAATAATAAAAAGAACGTGACAAAGGAGAAGAATATTAAGTATAATATGAAAAAGAAGTAAAAGAAAAAGTGAAGATGAAAAACTAGAAAAAAGAAAAAATTGAAGAATAAGAAGATAAAGAATTTTGAAAAAATAAGAAAAAAGGAGGAGGGAAGGAGGAAAACAAAGAAAATAAAAAAACGATGTACAAAAAGAAATATTTTTTGCTGAAAATGACAAAGTTCTAAGAAGGAGAATAAGTGGCAATCTACAGTATCAAAGCCAAAGAGGCAGCTGCAAAGACAGCAAGGACTTACTGCTTCATAATTATCCTTATAACTTCTTTCTAGAACGTAAAGCATCTACAAAGAAGGTAAAATTCAAAAGTAGAATGTTCATGATATCTTTATACCTTTACCCAACAGAGACCTAGATATTTATTCATTTAGAATGATTTTACTGTGATTATATTTAAAGATCAGGGATTTAATAACATTTATGATACAGCTGAGTGTATCTGAATCAAATGTGCTTCGTAATAAGATGCTATCTTGCCCTGTGAGTACCTGTATTTTGTTTTTATGTAGCACCAGTATCAGCATGTTGCAATAAGAAATTTTACAAATAATATTTGGGCCTAAATGTAATTTTTTTTGCATCACTTGCATATCATACACCAATTACCCTTGTTGCTCCAGTCATTTCTTAGATTTTTACAATAACAAACTAGTCCTATAAATCAACTAATAACTGGACTATATCATTTACATTAATTATCCTTTATATGTTGATGACATGCACAGCGGCAGTGTTTTATTACTTGCTAGTAGGGCAACTTTGTGCATTGTGGTAAGGGTATAATAGTAAACATTTTCAGGTACCTTTTGATATATAGCTAGTACCTTGAAAAAAGACTTACTTTTATGTGAGCGACTTTAATAAAATATTAAGATAATTTGTTTCGTGAATAGGCCTTGCAATAATAAACTTTTCAGAGAGTACCCTTGTGATGATTCGAATTGGATAGAATTGTACAGGATAAAATTATGACAAAAGGCAATGAAATACAACAAACAAAGTTCAATACAACATAACAAATACACAAAATACAACATGACACGAAACAAGCCAACACGACACGACGCGACACAACACAACACGATGCGACAAGAAACAACACAACACCACATAACGGAACACAAGGTCACACAACAAAAGTTTATATAAAACGCGGCAAATCAAAAGAGAGTGATAAGAAGTAAAATTAAATTAGTCATATTTGAAAAATGAGTGATCATTTGACAAGTAAAAATCCCATCACAGGATAACTTTTATCTCCGTTGTCAGCAAAGCAAGCGGCGAAATTGCCACAAGATATTGGTATAATTGCTGGATTGCATAAAGATACCATAGTTGATCCAAACCCGATGTATGACTCTGGTGTTAAGCAGTTCGCTTCTTGATTGGCTGCTAAGCCGATCCGAATTTTGAGTTCGTTTCCATCGCCTTTGACATTAAACCCTTCACGATCACAGTATGACTGCAAGGACGAGTCAGCAACAAAACCCTTCCAGGTAGAACGCCCGAGAGCCGTTGAAACATAAACTTCATTTTTAAAGATATCTTGCAGAGTGGAGTTACCGCCCAAAGACGTTTCATTAAAATTTAGGCCAATCCATTTCATAGAGTTATTGCGATACATACCCATGCACAACTTCTCGCAACGAAGCAAATTGAATGCCGGGAATTTAGCTTCAAATGAAAGGAACGATTTTAGACCCTCTTCTGTGTTGTAGGTTTCATTGTTCTTCCACAGCAATGAAGAAAACTCGAAAGTTCCCTGAAAAAAGCCAATTTCATAAAATCAATTTGATAAATGAAATAAAATTTGGGTGTTTAGTTGCTATTGAGAAGCGTATGGTTTTCAAATAAAACAAAAGCATGAAGGCTCTCTTCAACATAGAGTAATCTGTAACAGATAGGTGAGAGCAATATTTCTTGATAAATGCGGCAGCAAAAACTTTTACTATTGCAACTTGTCTCTAGTCCATGACATCCTGCCCTCTGAAGCGGAAAGACCATGGTCGTTACTTGCGCAAAATGCACGAATAAATGCTAAAAAAGTCAAAAAGTTAAATGATAAAGAGAAAAAATAAGAGAAAAACAAATTGTAGAAGCAACGACAGAATTGATTAAAACGAAGGAAAACGAATCAATGAAATCACGGATGAATAAAAGAATAAAAAATAAACAAATGAAAGAAAAAATAAATGGAAGAAAGAAGGAAAAACAGTAACAGCGAATAGAAGAAAAGTCAAGAAAGCGAAAAAATTCCAAAACGGACGTAAGGAGAAAGGACAAAGACTAGGCATATGTAATTTGAGAACTAATCGAAATCAGAAAAACGCACGCACACGACTGGTATAGTTGTCCAATCTGTACTGCACTCCTAAAGAAAAATTACCACAGGAGTCCAAGAGAGAAAACGAACTTCAGTTCGAAAAACTTATGGTATATTGTAAAATGTTTGCTTTCTTCAAATCCATTTTCAAATTTTGTAACGCCAAAAAATTTTTCAAATAAATTTTTAACAGTCTTAGAAATTTTCATTTCTTTACAGTTTATAACGATAGGAACTATGTGCATAGTCAGCTAAGCAATTAACAATGTTGAACTAACAACAAGTAGATTGATGCAGTGAATATTAAATCTTAAGAAATAAGTTATACCATGCTTCCATTCATTTTCAATGCTAATGTCCAGCCACCTTCACCACACCCTTCCAGATTCTCCATGATACAATGATGCTTCCCATCTTTAAGACTATATACTCCACTGACAGCCGCCATGTTTTTTTGATAGGCATCCTTGCAATCTTCATACACTGGTTCAACTAGAACAGGAAAAAAATAGGCACAGTGTTCACACAGACTTCATTGGTAATATTTTCAATAGGCAAGCAGCACTTTTTTGCAACCTTTATAGTCACGTGCTCGCGTTTCTGATTGGCCTATGTCGACCCACAACTAGGTATATATATATTTCCTAGCTTAGAATTTTCGATCAATGCTTTGAAATTCACGCATGTTTCAAAAATGGATGCTTTTATCAAAGGCATTATCAAATCTTTTAAAATGAAAAAATTGTTTGCTAGTGCTGACAACAAAAATATCCAACTCGTAGAAATACACTATTTGTGGAAAAATTTCAAAGAGCTATCAACTATTTTGATTAATCGCTTTATAGTACTAGCTAAAGTTTGAAAACAGCAAAAGCAGATCGGATCGTATAGTATAACTTTGTTAAAAATAAGCTTCTTACATTATTTTGATATAATGCTTACATAAATAGCTTATTTTTAGCGTTATTCATAATCTTTTTCGCAATTTTGATAAAAATTCTCGAGCCATTTACTTAAGTTTGCGAGCTTCCGAATGCTGACTGATTAGCTCGTGAGCATAACGAAAATAGAAACAAATTCATTAAATAAATCAAAAAGAGATTATTTTGAATATGCTAGGCATCCAAGCAGATTAGATCATTTGTAACAAGCCGGGGAATCATAACCGCTCTGTAATAAAAGGAAGGGTTCTTCAAGCGGTCAAATCAAAATCGTGCGTAGTGTTAAAGGACATCTGATACATCAACCGTTGATCGATCTGGACACAAGGAGCTTCCTTCGTGCTTCAAAAGAAGTATACTAGACCATCCCTTTATTGTGCTCATTACGATAATCACTAATTTTTATTCCTAATTTAAGCAAACAAGCGTAAAAGTTTTGTTGAAATCCTTGGAATAGATAGTATCGTTATCAATTATGAACAAGGTAACAAGATACAATGAAAACACTCCAGACTCACACTTGCCATTATTTGACACCCCAAAACCGCAAGCAAATGATTTTATCCCAACATTTTTCTAAGGTGAAAGCCATGTACTGCGAATTCAGGCATAACATGTTCGCTCTTTTTAACTTAACATTATTATCAAGAAAAAAAAGTACCTGGTGTTGGGAGAGTGACATTCAATCGCTGCAAAAAGAACAGAAAAATACTAGTTATAATAGAATTTGTTTAAGATTTCCATCAGCTGAGTTCTAAAAGTATTAAGATTTAAAAATAGTCAGTAATAATGGAAACTTTTCATTTTGAATTCCTGTTAAAACTACAATTACAAATCTCACTATTACAAGGTAATTTGTAACTGGCTAGCCTGTGTTTACAAAATAAAAACTATTACATCGTAGTAATGAGAAAAAAAAAATTGTTAAAAGGGGTGTAGCTCTGGATTAGTCCAAGTTTTGTTTCTACAGCAGAATATATAGTATGTGGTGCGAATGGAGATGCTTGTAAGTTTGGAGATGAGGTAGCGTTTCTGTTGATGATCAATGGACAAAGAGTCACACATGTCGATGAATGAGCTGCAGGAGTCGCCAAAAATACCAAGTGAACTGATGGAAGATTGACAAACGAGACTGACTTAAACTGACGTTTTAAGTCAGATACGAGGGTGGCATATTTCCCTGACTTTCTGACAGCATTGCAGTTGAGATTTGTTTCAAAGCCTATGGTTAGCTCTAAAACGTACAGACAGTTTTCCTTAGTTTTGAGAAGTAAGTCAGGGCGTAGTTGATCTCCAGTTATGATAGAAGGGGAAAGAAAGCCTGGTAAATCTGCGTAGAGAGAAGACCCATTTATTGCTTGGAAGGAAGTGGCTAGAAAGTTTAATGCAGAATTATGACGCCAAGTATAGCGTCCTTGGTCAAGGTACACTTTGCATCCAGCAACAACGTGTAGAAGTGTTTCTGGAAGAAGACAGAATTCACAGTCAGATGTTTGACTAAGGTTCCATTTCAGCAGATTTTTACGAGTTGGAAGAGTGTTGTTAAGGTACTTGATGGTAAAGTTAAAGATGTTACTAGGCAAATTGCTTTGTGTACTTGACCAAATACCGTTCAGCTTTTCCAGTGAATGTTTCAGTAGGAAGGTAATTGTGGCTCCCTGAGATGTTAAGTTTTGGGAGAGACGTTCTTTGTTGTCTGATTTGACAGCCTTTAATACCTCTTTAGTATTACGATAGATGTCGTACTGTAGGTTCGTGCCATGACTGGTGTTTTTCCATAGGGTTTGAATGTCAATATAATAATAATAATAATAATAATAATAATAATAATAATAATGGAAACTTTTCATTTTCAATTCAATTAAAACTACAATTACAAATTTCACTATTACAAAGGTAATTTGCAATTGGCTAGCCTGGGTTTACAAAGAAAAAGACTATTACAAGCACAAACAAAATAAATTAACAAAAAAAAGGAAAAAGTGTGTTCGTCATTGTTTGTTTTAGAAGTCGTCAGTAGCCGAGATCGTTAGAATTGAAGAAGTTCAGGATTATTCCAAGATTTATTTTTGCGGCAGAAAATGTAATAGGTAGTACGGATAGTTAAGTTGGATAGTTTGGAGATCATGAAGCGGAGATGATTCTCGCTGATATCTAGAGCGTTGCACATGTCGATGAAAGAGGAGCAAGAGAGACCAAGGATACCTAGGGAACTGATAGAAAGATTAACAAACATGATAGAAGAATAGGCTGAGCTTAGGCTGTGAATGAGATTCGAGTATTTCTCTCTTTTGCGGTTAGCATAAACATCCAAGTTAGTTTCGTATCCTACTGTAAGCTCGAGTATGAATAGTCGATGGTCAGAAGTGACTAGAAGTAGATCAGGACGGAAAGAGTCTCCTGTTATGATAGAGGGTGAGAGATAACCTGAAAGGTCTGCGTAAAGAGAGCAATTAGGTATAGCTTTTAAAGATTGTGCTAGGAAGTTCAGTGCAGAGTTATGGCGCCATGTGTAACGGCCTCCTTCGAGGTATGTTTTGCAGCCTGCAACAATGTGAAGTAACGTTTCTGGCATATGGCAAAAAGAGCAATCGGACGACTGAGTAATGTTCCATTTAGATAGGTTTTTTCGAGTGGCAAGGGAGTTGCTAAGATATTTGATAGTAAAACTGTAAATGTTCTTGGGCATGTTGCTTTGAACCGTGGTCCATATTTTAGAGGCTATAGGAAGAGAGTGGTCAAAGATGAAGGAAAGAACGGTACCTTGAGATACAAGATGGTTTTGAAGGCGCTCTTTATGTTCTGATCTAACAGCCTTCAATACTTCTCTAGTATTCCTGTAAACATCATATTGGATGTTCATGCTCTGGCTGGTATTTTTCCACAAAGATTGGATGTTTTTGTTGGGAGAGGATTTCAGTGCATTACGACAAACAGTTTGACACTGCATGAATTTAACAGAAGGAAGAATCAAGTTAAGACCGAACTGGTTTTTTGACAGAATAATGCCACTGAAAGTAGCACTTATAGGTAAATCGAGCCAACGGCGGATAAATGCAGAAACTTGATTATCAAGGTTTTCGACGATCCAGGTTTTTGATAGATCGGCTACTGTGAGGTGCCACGAAACTTGTGAGAGAAGATAGCTGTTATAAAGAAGCAGCTTATTCTTTGGATGGAGAGGTAAAGAATCAAATTAATAATAATAATAATAATAATAATAATATCTTTATTTACAGTTGGTTTGAGCAATAGTTGATATACATAGATAATTATGCAAAACTAATTGATACCAGCTATTTATATACATAAAAAAGCACAATATTAATCTACATATTTACATATTTTACAGCTACATTTGCCTCCATTCCAGGCATGTATGCCTTTTTTAAATTTGAATACGTTTTCCACATTGTTTATCGCATCAGGCACGGTGTTCCAGAGAAGGCTCTAACCAGTTTTAATATTTGACACAACTGCTTTCACACATAAAGATACTTTTGACGATTTGCGCTTGTTTTAAACCAGAAATGTTTACTTAGCATCTTCAGTGCATTTCCACTTGGCCTACATCATCTGCTTCACAGTCGAAGAAACTTCTATATTGTTGAGAGATGTACCAGAAAGATAACTTCTGGTAAAAAAAGCTCCTCGAATTTGTCCTTCTTTTCTTTTTTTATCACAATAAAAACAAATACAAAAAAAGTCAAGTTGATCATCGTTGAGATGGAGGCAAAAAACATAACGTTATCGAGTTGCCTCCACACCCAACATTACAAATATACCAAAACTTTGCGTACACTATAAATACACTATAAATACGCAATACAGAACAACACAGAACAACACAGCACAATACAATAGAATACAGTACAATTTATCCTTCTCTGTGCAGTAATAGTACTTCTAGAATTGATAGGCAAGTAAAGAAAAATTCCAACTTTGCCAAACAGTAAACTGCAAAAATTTAGCCACGAGGCAACAAAAGAAGACGCATGCGACCTTTTTGCATGGTTACAGAGTATTTTTGAAGGAAAAGGAACGAAGGCGTTGAAGGAGCATATGGAAACCATTTCAAAGGATTGATAAAATAATTACCTTAAATATAACTGCTTTCCATCCAGTCATGCCTTCAACAGACTGACAACTACTATCGTGTTTGGATAAGCCGAAAATTTCACAGTTTTCGATGTTACCATTTTCGCCGCTGGCCTGTTTGTAGTTCAAAAGAGCGCATTGCTCATTTCGGAGACATCGATGGTGACATTGAATTTCACTGGCAACCGAATATAGCTTCTTCTCAGCATTTGAACATTCAAATTTCACATCAAGGAAGATATTTTCTGCATAACCCTGATCTCTGTTAGGGTCTTGGCCTGCCAATGAGACCTCAGCAAGCATTAACGCAAATATATATTTCAGAAATTCCTGCATCTGCATAGTTATTCACTCCCGAATCTGGACAAAATACTTTGTGTTTTGAGCTGATCTAAGGTAGGCTTCTTTATGAATTCTTCCTAGATTTAATTGTACTAAGCTGTTTGGAAACTGCAGCGTTTTCATGCAGATTGTCGATCCAGTCAGGAACGTATCCCATTATCATCTGGCAGGAATAAAATGCCATAATTTGCAGGCTTCATTGACAAAATCTGTTGCAAAGCTGGCGGAATTCTCTCCTTGCACTGTCTCCAGGCAGTGCGACACTAGGTGCTTAAAAATGTGTCAAATTCATACCTTTGGTTTGGTATTATAAGGTCCACTACACACTTTTTTCAAAGAATATCTAATTCGTTGCTCAGCCTCGATATTCTTATTTTTTTATTTTAAGCCTAAGATTATTCTTAAATTATTCTTAAGCGAGACAAGATGTAACTGAGTCGTGTTAAAGACCCCACGGCCGGATATGTCTATTTCAAGACATGTAGCGTGGAACTTGCATTAAATTTGCTTTCCAAAAAACTCAAATAAGCAAACAATTTAGTTCTTGATGAAGTTTAAGCCTGGCATTATTCTTAAATGCCAGCGATTTTGCGCATTAATATTCTTATAGACTATATTCTTTTATATAAGTGTGTAGCCATTATTACAAGATTTGCTTGGAAATTCTGCTGCTGTCGCCTAGTGAATGGCTTACATTTAAATATGAATTCGGCATCTTGAAGTGCATCGTGAGTTATATTCAGAGGTGAAGAGCTGGGCAACTTTTAGCAAAAAAAGACACGACAAGATTCGCGCAATTTCATCAGGGTTTTTTGCCGAGGCATTGTTGCTTATGGGACCAATACATCCTAAAAATTGTCATTGATCTATTAGCTGGCATTTCACGGCATGTACCGAATCATTAACTAACATATTATTTGCGATAGATGATTTCATGTCTGGTATTTCTCTCTGGGCAAATCACGCTAAGTGCTGAATTCACTACACCTGACTTGTTTTATTAGAGAGAGAGAGAGGTTTTCAGAGATAACAAACTATGAGAGAAGTTTGATTCAGATAAAACCTTGTGTTTCGGAATAATGCAGAAACGGAGGTCACCTGTTAGGATAGAAGTTGACAAAGATCGGGGGCGCTAAATCTTGCCATTTCGCAACAATGTGAACGCGTGGACTGGCACGTCATTTTTCCATAAAGATGATATACACTTGATTTGCCAAGTTATGCGATCTCATTGGAAAGAATGATAACGATATAGACGAGGCAAAAACACTAAATTTCTGAAAAATGATTGCTTATGAGTTTCCCATTGAAAACACGAAAAAGGATCGAGAAAATGATAGTGGATGTCAATAAAAGTCAGCTTAAATTAATAGAGTTTAGAAAGGATAAATGCGAAAAGTGTTAAAAGAAGCTTTCTGCTAGGCGATAGATCCAGCGCCTTAATGGTCTTCATGTAATGGTCTTCTGAAAAGCACTATCTTTTCATGCAGCTTTTTCATAAACATTTTCTAAGTATATAAATATTTTCTTAAATGAGTTACCAATTGCTAAGCTATTTTTTCAAGAATAAGAGTGGGAAAATAAAAACTTACTATAATCAAGTGCTTTATTTAGGCGGGTATTGAAATCAATATGTAAATGTCTGGAAACAAAATACAGCGCTTTAGGTTATTAGGAAACAACAATAAAATAGGCCAAAGTTTCATCAAAGTCAAAATGATATGAGACGAGGCTTAACAGCTATTGAACATAATATCAGATAAGGCTAAAAGCAGTTGAACAATGAAAAAAAGGTAAAAAATTTATTGTAACTTCCAATGAAAAAATCTTTTTAGTAAAGCTTTTTAAAAATTAAAAAATTCACCGTAAATTACCATGGTTTGACGGTTTAAAAAGAAAAGTTATACATCTGCAAATTGTGTTTCTTGCTAAGCTCAAGTTCTACTCACAGGGAACTAATGGTTTATAAATACATGATATCAGCAATATATTAGATAGACCTGTGAAGACCAGTTCCACATAATCTTTCATTAAGGGTTATCTTGATAGACCATGTTAAAAACAATCTAGCCCTTGGTCTGCAAAGACAGGAATGATTGCTGCATAGAATAGTGTTCACTTTTCAGGGGGTTTCTCCAAATGTATTCTAGGCTTCATTTCACGGTCCCACATTCTGTTGCGATTGACAAACCCTTGTTTACCTTTGTTAAATGAGTTAGGACCAGCTGAAGTGGGGGTTTCCCTATAAGAAAAACAAACAGGGACATTAGAACATCACCCAGATTCTTCTATTCTTGGCACCAAATTTATAATCTGTCTCTACGCAGAAAAATCTTGAAATTGACAAGGAAAGGGTTATAACAGCTTACACGGTCTAAAAACAACAAATATTTTCATGTGATATATTTTGGCAGCTTTGATTTAAAAATTTGACCATTTCAATTTTTAAATTAATATACTTGAACCTTGTTTTTTCCTAGACTACACACTTACTTCAACTCATAAGGACCAATAACTTGTTGAAAAAAATTATATTGTTTTTATAGCAAAGTTTATATTGAGGCCTCATATCACATCTGGTGACATGTTCTTCTCTGATTTAGTCAAATATAAATAAAATCTATTCATTTTTCATCTGATGAAAAATTGAAATTATTACAAGTACTGATCCACCTAAGATTCCCCAATAATTTGATAAAAATCGTTTCAATGAAATTAAGTATATTCCTGGGTATAAAATTAAGTATAAAATGTCATCAGAGGATTAATGGTATGAACTCTTGTACAAATCTTATAAATCAGAATATTGCAGTCATTAGAGATGATGGTTTAAGCTTTATCACCATTATTTTAAACAATATTTTCCTTTGCAGCAATATATTTTTATATTTTCAGGTGCTCATTGAATTGTTATCAATGATTGCTTAAGGCACTCCAGGCAAGGCCTGATTCCAGATCGACTCTGATTGAGTGCTTTTCCGGGCAAGGCCTGATTTCAGAGTTCAGCAGCTAGAAATTATAACACCTGAAAGGCCTGATTCCAGAGTTTGACAGCTAGAAATTATAACAGCTGAGATTGATACTGCTTACATTGAGTCCAGATTTTAACAAATTGTTTCAGAATAGATAGTTTTAAAAAACAAGTTTATAAAAACTCACCTTCCAATATTCCTCATTCGCATCCTAGCTTCTTTTGGCATTTCTTCTTCCTCACTCTGAAAACAATTAAAGTTGAAAAGTAAAAAAAATGACAGAGTAGTCAGCTTGACATGATAACTGTCAATAGGATTTCAAGCGTTCACATTATATATAGTAGTCTATCAGTTTGCTGCAGTTATAAATGGATTCGAAGGATAGCTAAAAGGTATAAGCACCAACAGGATTAAAAAACTGAACAATTTTCTGGCATTTAGACTGTACAGAAACTTCACTAAATATTGGCCAGAAATCAATATTTTCAGATTCAGCAAAAAGAACAAATGATTACATAGCACATGACTGTTGAGGTTGCCCAATCAGTGCCGCTTGCCTATTGACAATGTTACAAATGAGGTCCTAAGGTGAAAACGAACTCCTTCTTTCTCAAACTGCTTCATGGAACAACAATCTGGCTTTACGAAAAATCCAAAACATGTTGCCATTATAGTTTTTTGCACGATCTGGGTTTCCAGCTGCCTGTTAGAAGAATCACTTGTTAGCAGAATCACATGTTTTAGTTGTAGTTTTAGATCTGCAAAACTGAGGTGACTGTTCTCTTTGGGGGAATGCTAGATCTGAAAACTGAAATATTCAAGATTATATTGAAAGCAAGAAATCTGTCAAGTAGTGCCACTATCAAACTTACATCAGAATCATCTCCAAAAGCCTTTGCAACTGATCCCTTCTTTTCTTGCACATTTGTCTCAGTTTTCTCTTTTTCTGGCTGAAGGAAAACAAAGTTGAAGACAATGCGGAAGTTCAGTAAAACATAAATTAATGAAAATGATAGCAAATTTAAAACATTTTGATAACATAAAATGCATTTGACACCAAGGTGACACACAGATGCATATTTTGGAAAATTTCAAACATTCGCAGGGCAAACAGACTTTCATTATTTCACCTTGCATGTCTTTTTCAACAACAAGTCTTTAAGTTTTAAATTATTTGATCATTTATATAATTATTTAGTAAAATCAAAAGAATCTTGATTTTTTAAAGAAAGGTGGAAGTGAAGTTTTTAGAGAAGGGAACTACAGATAGAGAGAACAACACAAACATTTTGAATAGTGGCAAATATGGAGGTGAAGTGAATGTAAAGAGATATTGATAATGAAAGGAATGGAGGAAATAAAAAAGATGAAGGAAAATAATATGGCAGAAAGAAAACATGCTTCTAATACTTCTATATCACTTTTGTCTAAGACGATCAACTTGGACCTTACTAGTATCTACTGAATAATGCAACTTGTGTTGTTACCTTGGAGGCAAATGCTAATGAGACACCAGAAGAAACTTTGCTTGATACTTTTACAGGCTTCTGTTCTACATCTGATTTCTTTTCAACCTCATGTTTTCTCTTTTGGCCAATATTCAGTTTAATACTGGTGCTTTTCTTTTGAGGTCCTAAACATCAACAGTAACTGGAGAGAATTAAAATCAATAAGCTCAATTTGCTTTTGAACTATCCAATGAGAATAAATAATAAAATTTGCACAATCACAGGATGATATGCTTTAAAATGAAAACTCTTAATGTCTTCCTGAGAAGCAATGCTAACTCAACAATTATAGTTTTGAGCCAATCTGTTTGCTGTAAGAGGAGAAAACTAGCATAAATTATCATTAATTCAAATTTGCTCTAAAGATGCTAATTGCATTTGCAAAGAAAACCAGCACATATCATTATGTTTTATATTTGGATTTGTTTCTACCTCGCATCTTAAGGTAGTTTTTAGGACACTGAGAAGCTCATGCTTATCGAGCAGTGTCCTGGTCCTTCCTCTCAATGTGACCACACCTCGTGATTCCTATATGCCTGGAATTACAGAGACCTGGCAAATCTCCTCACTCTGGGTGAAAGTTTGGTCATGCCAGGAACTCGAACCACGGACCAGGTCTATTATAGTCAGTGCCTCTAACAACTGAGCCATCCTCGCATCTGAGCATATCATTATGTATTCAGATATTACTAGCTACACTTTGATATGTAGAACAGGGCTGTTTTGAGTTGCATTCAGAATTCAAACTTAATGCAATTACAAGGCATTTTCAATTCAATATTTTAAGTTTTTATATTTAGTCATTATTAAATATTTAGTTTCTGATGTTTTAATATCTTCTAATGTAGATGTGACTATGTATTCAAGTTTTGGAAAATAGATAATAAAATTATTTTGATATTGGTATGTAGAAAAAATTTGATTTTGGCATAGTGTTCAGACTGCTTCCAGAAACCTTACAGCTTTACCAGGGTGCATTCCACGTACTTAGGATCGTAGATCTTTGGCTTAAACAATTTAACTGCCATCGTAAAATGCCTGTCGTAAGTTTTCAAGAGTTGCAATGCAAATCCTGTCAACGGAATTGTTTAAAACGAAATGCGAAATCATCTAATATTCCTTTTTCTCATGAAGCTCTGTAAGTTCTGTATTTGTCAATTCATATTTTCATTTAGATCTTTTGTGTTTAACATTTATGAAGACCAGACTTAAGCATTTGATGCTAGAAATTATAGTTGAAAGGCCAATCATTGTTTCAAAATTATATTAGGCCTAGCCTAGCACGTCACGGCACGAAGTCGCGAAAAAAAGAGGACAATTATTAGTAGAGTTGTTGAAATTTCAATTGCTCATGACCATCTAGATGATAATAATACCTTCCAATGCAGTTTTTGGCTTTACAACTGCATCTTTTTCCTGACCTTTCTCTTTATTGGACTTGACTCTCTCTCCAGAGCTTTCCGCCATGTTTCACCAGCATTTGGTTTGCTCCTCCCCAGTAACCGGACCTCCGTCAATATTAGTCAGACCACAAAACTGTGACGTCATGCTCAAGTAGACAAATCTGGTGTTGCAGAACACTTCTGTAGCCCAGAACATACCATCAATGACCTTACTGTAACACCATTACTGAAATTCAACGACAAACGAGAGAGTGTCCGACGAGCCAAAAAGCAATACTTCATTGGCCTGGCAAACACTGCATGAACAGAACAGATGTGCAACGGCATGAACAGAACCACTGACCGACCGTTAACCTCACAGCAACATTATCATTATATCATATTATAGTACTTCATCCTCATTACGTTTTCATTCCACCACCACCACCCACCCTCTCTCATTCACCACCCTTCCCTCCTCTACCACTGTGCTGCATTCACACCATTCCACATCAGCCAATCCGACACCACCATCGCCTCTTTTAAATGTGTAAATTTTTAGCCCGTTAACTTTTGCTCTGATGAAGCCCCGTATGCCGGGGCGAAATATTAGCCTTTACTGATTTACGTGTATTTATTGTTGTTTATTCTCGGCGTATTGCGGTGTTTCATATTTGCTACATGCTCAAGTTAACCGTTTTTCCTTGCAAACAACTAACAATTTTGATTTCATTAATTAATGATTTTGGGAAATAGACCGTGTTGAAGAACCTCTGATGAAAAGTAAACTTGGTCATTTTCCGTAAACTGAGAACTGTTCTTTTCATCATTATCCCTCTTAAGATGATTATTTGTTGTTTAAATTATTAAATTGTATCCTTTGGATAATATTTGAATCCTTTATTTTTAAAAAGAAGACCAGGTAGACTTTATTTTTCAGACTTATTTGTGTAAACTGACAATTTACAATATTGTTACAACTACAAATGTTTACTAACTTCAAATGTTAGCACAAAATAAGCAACAAGCGAGATGAAAATTTGGAAAAAACTGAATTTTCAAGTGCTATGGAAATTTCAAACGATTCTAGCGATTCCTTTTAAAATCATTCTAGATAATGACTGAGCTTGGCAAAATGATTAATGATTCGAATCATTCAGTTTCTTAGATGTTAAGCACTTTTTATAAAGATTTTGTATTTCAGCATTTGTATCATGAATTGATAGGGATAATTGAATATAAAAAATAAACACTTTTCTCTTGATATTTATTATATGAATTCCAATTTCGAATTATGTTATTTATTTTGCGTTAGACAGCGTTAAAAATTAGTCCATTCCAGTTCTGACTTGCTTTACTTGACGCTAATAAGTTTTTCTGTCCAGAGGGTGCTGGCCAATTCTCTTTTGTCGTTATCTTCAGCAAGTGGTAGGTCTTTGACTGCAACGAACTCGTGACAATGATCAAGAAGATACTTGATGGGCTTGGCGAAATGCAAAGCTAACTTGACAGTGTTTGGCTGCAAAAAGAAGTGATTAAACATTATATTGAATCTATGATTTGGATCATATTTCCTTGACGTTATAGAAGCTGCGACAAATTGTTCCTGGCTGTTCTCTTTCAGGTTGTTCCGTGACCAATCAAACAGACGCATTTTTAGATGCTGACTGTTCCGGGCTTCCGAAGGCTCGATTGCATCCTACCCATTTTTCGCGAAATAAAAGAGCTTAAATACACAATCTTTTGCTATAATCCTGTAATTAGCTAGCCTGCGTCACAGATCATTCCCCCCCCCCCCCACTTTTAAACGTACTTCAATGTTCGGACGTTATGATTTTGCACTTGGTATAAAAAGACACAACACCAAAATATTGTTCCTTTTAGAAGCATCCATTCAAAGCATTGCTTCTTATGCATATAACGAACTCGATGAAATCAATGTACTTGTCACTTGCTTCAGTAACTTATTGAAAACCAAAGAGAAAAAGAAAATCTTGAAATCGGATCACTCACCTCCGACAAGCCACTGATCATGTGAGTTTCTCTTGGATTATGCACAGAGAAAAGCAGCCTTATATGTGGACCTTGCAGAATATCTTCTTCCTTGTCATCATCATCATCTTCATCGACACCGTTTTCTTCCATCTCGTCGTCTTCAGTATCACTTTTCTTCCCCTTTGACTTTCCTTTACTCTTCTTTTCTTTTGACTTATCATTTGTGTCTTTGCTTTTGGATCCTTTCCCTTTTGCTTTCTTTTCAGTCTTCTCCTTTAAGAATAAAGCTTGTATAAAATGTTGAACTTGTGAATCCAATACGTTTGCTCTCTAAGTACATTTTCTCTCCAAGCATGTGCTTTAGCTATTACTGCAGTGGTATATGCAAGGTTCATTATTCTATTCTTTATTTGTGTCGCATCTTCAAAAACTTTTCGAACCCCAAATAATTTAACTTCTGACTTAAATTTAGGTATTTTGAACCTCCATGGGTGTTATAAGTATACCTTTATACATCAGATATGAGTCCAAAGTTAACTTTATTTTGCGTTTCAATCATAAAGCAGCCTTTGGATTTGGAGATTATCAATAACATTTTTATCAAAGTTCCAATGAAGATGTTGCTAGACCAAAGACTAAAACCTCACAAGTCATCATAAAAGCCTTTTGATATCGTTTTTTATCTTAAAATTTCCCTAGATTTGCAGTAATAATTTTGAAATAAACTCTATCACACCAAGTTAGTTGGACATTATGGAAAGTTGGTGAAATCAAACTTTTTTGACAAATGTCAAGATTAGACTCACAGACTCGAAAGGCATCAAAAAATGAACGTTAGTCCAGTTTACTTCATCCGAGTAGACACCCATTCTAACAAGTAAATCCAAATTCTACTATGTAGATCACTGCTCTATCATGCGCATCCCCCCCTCTACCGCGTATTCTCCTGTATTCCTCTACCATGTATTAATCTTAACCCCCATTTGACCATATTTACGACATTCAGTGAATAAACCTCTTTGTCTTCAGCCTCGTTCTCCTCCTCATCCTCGTCCATATCATCATCATTTCCAACTATGTCCTCCTCGTCCGTTTCATCTGCAGCCTCGGCATCAAATTCGTCATCATCATCCTCTTCGTATACGACCAAACGTACATGATCTGGGTACATTAGCTTTATGCTACTTTTTTCTGTTGGCATCTCACTATTTTCTAAAATTTTACAGATGAAATAAGTTAAGGTTTGTCCGGCACGATCGTCATCTAATCTAATTCCGCCTTTTCTATAGATTTCAAATTTTTGAAGTAATTTATCAACCAAATAAGCTTTGGCACAATAGAATTTAGAAAATTGCACTGAAGAGCAGAAACATATCATACTAATTTACTTCTCAAAGTATCGATTCTTCAAAGTATAACCGGCGGATAATTGCCAATCGCAGTCGTTAATCTCTCACCTAGTTCAGGAGTCCATGAGAGAAAACGAACTCTTTTTATCTACGCAAATCGGGATCATTATTTATCTACCTTCAAAAAGTCACAAACCTCAAAAAAAATGGAAAACAATGCTAGAAAAAGGATAAGTGATGTTTTATTGAAAGAATCTTTTTAGTATACAAAAAAATTTATTCTAGGCCTTATATTTAATTTCATTCTATTTTTAACTCAAACAAAATTGAAAGCTAAAACATCAAAAAGAATTAATAAATTTATAAGAAGAAGCAAAAAAGCCTGAATTTCTAACCTTCTTCGGGGATTTTATCAAAGGGAGGAAGTCGGTTTGCCATAAAGTCCTCACTTCGTGAATCTGCGACAGTATTTGGATCAAAATGATCGACAACGCGACAAAGGAGATCTTTAAGTTTCATTTTGATCTTCTCAACCATCTCATCTGAAGGCTTTTTAGGAGATTTAGGTTTCTTTTTCTCTTTTGTCTCCTCATCTCCGTTTGCTTTGCCATTTACTTCTGCCTCATCTGAATTGTCTATGTAATCATCGAGGTACTGAAATGAATTTTTAACATTTGCAAGTGAGCAACACCACTTTGTTTATAGTTTTTCTTTCAGATTAAGTTAGCTTGTCGATTAACTGGAAAAACGATAGGGCATTAAGCATGGTACCTCTTGTAAAAGATTTCATATAAAAAACTTTCTAAATCATAGCTTAATTGAGAACATGTCATATTGCAAATTGCTATGCTCGAAAAATACTTTGTAAATACTTTGTTACAATATTACTATGCCGTCACTAAGAATTTTTTTTCTTCATTTTTTCTTGAATGTCTGCCGGGCATCTCGAAGTATCTTAAAAGCTAGAAAGGCTGCTATGGACACATTTGTTAGTATTATCTTTATAGTCAGTTCTTGAACAAAAAAAATAACGTCAGCTTTACCTATGATTTATGCTCTTCTTGGAGCCGCCGATATAGACTACTGGCAGCGAAAGGTAAACTAACTTACAATGGATAATTTTCAAACGACAATTAATGAATATACCTTAGCAGTACCAAGTTTCAGAAGGTAGTCCATTGGCAATCCTCTTCTAAGTTCTACGTCACTGGTTATTGCGGTTTCCACCGCAGTGGTTATTCCATCCAAGAGGAAATCTCCCCAAGAGCTAAAAGGCATCAATGTTATTAATGGACAAAAGCTGTCATTGCTAAGGATGTTCCAAGCATCGAACGAAGAATGTAGGAAAAATTGTCACAGGCAGAAACAAACGAAAGACATCTTGCTTAAAACTCTAATTTGATAGAGCTCTGATGTATCTGAAATACTAAACATGATTTATTTCTGCCAAAAGACCAGAGATTGCTATGTCAAGGGCAACTTTTGAAAAACTGGACCTTCATCTTCCTCCAGATTCTTTTTCTTATACAATATGTTCAACAGTATACCTCCTAAATAAGTTTTGAAATATTTATCTACTATCTACACTATTAATTAACTATTTGAATATCTTCTAAGAGACAGTTTCAATCTAGAGTTCAGTAAGATGTAAAGTATAATCATGATTTATAGAATTCTTATTCTTACTTGGTTTGGTAGGTTGAAAGCATCAAATGGGACGAGAAGCCATCAGACACAGCCTTCGCTTGGTGGATTGTTCCTCTTGGGAAATACAGAAAATCTCCCGCCTACAAATTGATGTAGTTTAAAAAAGATGCATCACACATTAAGAGTTAGCTAATTGGTGACAAACTTGAAATGTTCATGCAATTTTCCAGCTCATCTTCGAATAAAATTTAATGGGAGTTATCCAAATCCGAAATGAAAAGTTATCAATAAAAAGAGTTCTAGCTATCAACAAAGTGCTAAGGACATATTTTCTTATTATTTGAAACTTGTGAAACAAATTTTCTCCCAAATAACGCTGCGTGTCTCAAATCTTATGAACTGCGTTTGTAATCGACTGGCTTATATTACATGCAGTGAACACAGACCCAGCAAGAGAGCGAGAGAGCGAGAGAGCGAGAGAGCGAGAGAGCGAGAGAGCGAGAGAGCGAGAGAGCGAGAGAGCGAGAGAGCGAGAGAGCGAGAGAGCGAGAGAGCGAGAGAGCGAGAGAGCGAGAGAGAGAGAGAGAGAGAGAGAGAGAGAGAGAGAGAGAGAGAGAGAGAGAGAGAGAGAGAGAGAGAGAGAGAGAGAGAGAGAGAGTCGCGCATCTTCATCTTCATTCAACTTTTTATTTCTTTGATACAAAATGCATCCTTTTCGTTGCTTTGCCACTAACCCTTGACAGGAGTTACTAGGATGCCTTTGAACGTAAAAAAGAGCGTAAAAATAGCAAAATGCGTTCGTTATAAGTAGCTGAATTTCAAATAGATCGCAATTTCCATTCAAAACGAACGAGTTGTTAAACGTACCAAGATATACCGTTAGGTCTACAAAATGTCTTGAGGATTTACTCTTGTTGCATTTAATTAGATTATATCTAATAATTGACAATTTCACCTCAAGCTCTAGTTCATGAGTAGCCTCTCCAAGGTCACTTGGTGAAAAATCAGAGTCGAATTCTCTCGCCAGCTCTTGCTGTGGTTTATATAACATCCACTTCTCCTTTCCTTCTAGTTGAAACACAAATGCCTGAAAAAGCAAATTTTATAAAAACGTTGCACCATCAATCCATGAATAATTAGTTCGTGATTGCACTATAAAAGTGCATATTTGCAGCAATCCAGTTAAATATTTTTTACGCAAAATTTTGCATTAAATATTGGGTCTCAAAACTTCTTTGTAAGTTTCTTTCCTTGTTACTAAGAGATATAACAAAATTTACATATAGAGAAACAAGAAAAAATATTCCTTGTAAACGAATGTATTAAACATTTTTAGGTGAATGTACCATTTTTGAGTATCACGTGATACCTGGGGTGAGACAGCTCTTTTCATTTATTTAGAGTTTATTTGGTCCAGTCTTGGACCAAATGAAAGAAATATTGGAAATAAAGCTACGTTTTTTGGGATGTTCGTTATTGGGAGATGTCTACTATTGAAAGATTCTGTTGCTAGAAGATGCCATTTTATCAGTACCGTAGAAAGGATAGGATAATTGAGGGGCATTGTGTTTGTGAGATCAATAAGAAGAGAAGGAAAGTTTATTGTTGTTTATTGGAAAAATGACTACAATGCTTTTTGGATGAGCCCGAGCTCCCCTAACAGGAATAGGAGCTACGCGCCTCTCCTTTATTATATATAGACGTGTCAACTACTCTCAGAGGTCCTTTGGGAAGGTTTCTCTGCACCATCCATATTGTCATTTATCTTATCATTACTTGTGTTTACAAAGCTTTATAAGTTACCTTATCAATAAAGAGAGTAATTCTGTACTGGCAAGCAACGACAGAAAACACATTAAGTAGCATAATTACCTCGCAATCGTCCTGCTGAGGGGAGAATACTTGGGAAGAAGGGGGTGTAACATAGAAACTAGCACCAACATTGCTTCCAAAATGTTTCTCCATCAATTCAATAATTTTCCAGAGCGGATCCTAAAAAAAAGCAAACTCACAATAACTCCTATTCAGTAATTGCTACATTAAACCAGCTTTTCAAATTTCCTTATGCTACATTAAATTTCTGGAAAATTATGTTTGCAATCTCTTCGTTTTGAGATCTAAAGAGACCTAATATTGGTTAATCAACTATGTTAGGGCTATATTATGTTATATTAGCTTGTCCACCATTGTTACTTTGACGCTGATAAAAAATACCTAAAATATTCTTAGTAGAAGAAAAATTCATATTCTGGAATTTGCTTGTGTTAACTTACTGAAAATCTCTGTGGTTGTAGCAGCTGAAAATTAGCACTCTTCTTGTCCAATAATTTTTTCACTTCGGCTGCATTTACTATATCTTCATCGTTAACGCTTTCCTTCCTTCCTTCGACAAATTTAGTAGCATTCAAATCAAGGTCATAGCTCAATTTATTCGATTCGATTACTTTGGTAAACTTTTCTTTGTCAAAAATGTTTCCATAAAAATCGTGGTCTCCTCTTTTGATATGCAAAGGCTTCTTTTCCCAATGTTCTTCATTGAAGGTTAAAAGGGTATTGGGTGCCAGCATTGACGTCATAAGAGCAGCATGTGTAGAAAGGTCCAACTTGGTCTTCAAATCTTCGAGCGAGGTTTTCTTGCTGCTCGTGGACTGGAATAAATTGAAAAAAGGTTTTTTGAGATCATAGCAAAATCTTTAGGGAAATGAGGTAAAATACTTACCAATAAGAGGCCCCGATACACGGGCTCTTCCTTCACACAGGGGCTGGACTAGCTCGTAAAAGACAGAAATCGGATTATTGTTGAGGCAGACTGACGCTCCATACATGTTCAGAGAAAAGATCACGCCTTTTCTAAGTGAAAATTCCAAGACAAACAGAAACAAAATAACATGCCTGGAAAGAAATGTTTCCGGAGAAGTCATTTTGAGCTACTTGAGAAAAATAAGATTTAGACCATAAAGATGCTCTTTATTGGAGGGTCGATATAAATGTTAGAATTCTTTATTTTGCCTTGTTTCATCCAATGCCAAAACCGCATTTTAAAAAGTACTGTATCAAAATATTATCTAACATATGTATATTCGTGTGCAAATAGCTATGGCGATCACTGCACGCCTGCAAAACAGAGGGTTTAAATTCTAATGTCTCCATCTACAAGCCTGTGCATGACAATATCTGCTTCAAGAAAATTTTGCATCTCTGCTGCATTTTTGCATCATTTTGCATCATGTTAACCCTCTAATTTGCTAAGATCGAACTGAACAACTCCATGATTTTCAGATACTTGTATCCTCGATAAAATACCTTTTAATGAAAATTATATGTCTATCTTCAAAGTTAAACTGAAGTCTTGGTTTAGTTTGTGTAAAAAAAGCAATTTGAAATTGGAAAGTTCTTACCATGAAATGAAAGAAACTCGACTACACGTGGCATGTTCAGCCTTGACTAATGGACAGGCGTTTGATAGGCACGTCCTCGATTACATTGGCAGAATTCTGCCCTATATTTACTTGTCTAAACCAGTTAGAACCAAAATACATACGAGATGAACAGAATCGTTAATCTATCCATGGTCTGTTTGCCATAGTTTCTGACTGCAAAATTCAAAGGAATCCATGCTTTGTCTTTGCCAAGCAATTCTTAAGCAATTTTGGGAACTTATTACTCCTCCATTAAATAATTACTTTGATGCATGTTACTACTCAACCTACCTTCTTGGTACCATCACTATCAATCCTTTTTTCCCGCTTTCGCCTCTTCATTCCTTTCGTATCAGTTTGTTCGCCCGAAGACCCTTTCCTTTTCATCGTGGTGACCTTTCCAAAGAATAACACAAAAGCTACTAACAGCCGCGATGGAAGGTGACTGAAGAAGTATATGTTTAACATGTGACCTGCTTTATAAGCGTGCGTATCTCAGCTCAATATGTTCTTATTGGCTACCTCTTTCCTTTGGGAATATGATGGAAACAAACGGACACTCATGCATTCATATTCGAGCCCAATGAATTGCAGTTGACCCCGAAATGATTGCGCACAACAGTTTGGATTGAAAGTTTCGAGTACCAAAGGGAACGAAGAAGAAAAGAGACAAATGCCCTGGGAATTTCAGCAGGGAACATGCTTGTTTATTTGGCATCAGGTAATTTCAATGAAGGAAACAATCCATGCAGTTCATATCATTATTCATATTTAATTCAAAGATCTTCTACCATATAGATGCTATAATGATAAAATGAAAGAAATACGACAAATCTAGCAAGGATCTTCCCGCTAACAACCATAACTGATAAAATTATTTATTTCACAAAAAGTTTCATACATTGCAAGAAATAGAATAAAAAGTTTTTTGTTTCCTTTTTGAATCATCCAAAGTTCAAAACATTTCTTTTTTACAGAATATAAACTTGTTGAAACGAAGAACCAGCCACCGCAGAATTTACTGGCTCCAAGTTGTAAATCAATGCTTTGTTTTCTTCATCGACTGAAGCAAACTTGTGACAACATTTCGTAGCTTCGTTTCGAAACAAGTTGGCAATGTACTGGCTTGCTGATAAGGATGGTTGTGAGTGATTGATGTGAAGGTGTTCCTGCCATTCAAACAACGGTTTCTCTGGGTGCCACTGTAGACCATAAATTGGGTAGCCGTGGGCTAAATATTGAAAATAAAGTGATTTAAAGTTAGAAATAAAACGTTAGGCTGACTCAAATAAAAAACTCGAGAAGGTTTGCTATGGGGTATTAAAGAGGAAGCTTTATTTAAATTTCAAAATTTGGCACGTTTTTAAAATTCCAGCATTTTTGAAACAATCTAATAATTCTGATACCAATTTATAATTGCTTGTTTGTATTTTGCCTGGCTAATTCGCACAATTGATTGGGTTACCACCAGATACAATTGATATAATTGTCGTTTGCCATAATATGGAATTTTCTAGTTCCATATAAGGTGATTTACAGCTGTCACTATGACTTGAGTAATGCAAGTTAAATAAGAAATGTTTGGGATGCCACATTGAATTTTATATGAAATACAAATGGTAGCGTACAGATCTAACCAGTCTTTTTGTTTGCACAATGAAGGCATTGTGCGTTTAGTCTAGACTATAGTGAAGCAAGAAGTAAAAGTGCTAACAAATATTAACAATCCTTCTAAAACGTGGTAGGGTTCGAATAAATTCAATTGAGCCCGCCATTTTCTCGGGTGCTGTTGGACCAGAGATATTGATGTGAGTAGGTGACCATTGTACAGGGGTTTATTCAACAAGGCTTTGACCGTAGAGAAGGAACCATCGGATTGCAATGCATGTCCTCACTTTAAAGGTATGCTTATGAGGAGGTGTCAATTATTGTAGGCTTCTCAAATAAAAGATATACAGGAACAAAGCGATACGACGACGAGAATCCAATGTCACGAAATAAAATGTTCAAAATAAATTAACTTTAAAGAATATACTAATATTTCGCCCCGGCATACAGGGCTTCATCAGAGTAAATGAAACGAACGAGTGAATGGATTTGAAATGTGAGATGGTGGTGCCGGTGTCATATGCGTTTCGGTAACCTTATGCATTTCGGTACTCAAACGCATGGCAATTTTGGTTATGCAAAATCGTACCCAAGCACTTAAACAATAGGGTACCCAAACAAACGTGGAATTTCGCATATAAAACGGTCCCGGTACACAAACGCATGAAAATTTTGCTTATACAAAAACGTACCCAAGCTTTTAAAAAACAGGGAACCGAAACGAATTTGGCATGCGAACCGGTCTGGGAACAAAATTGTTCTGGTTCATATTGATCAGAATGAAAGAACAATCGAACTATTTCTAACAAGGGGGTACTAACAAGAAGCTGTGCTGTGATTTCCCTTGTTAAGTTTATGCAAGAAAGTACAACATTAATTGCTAATCCAAAGTTTTCTTGATCGAAAAGTGTTCAATTTGTTAATTATAACGTGTCATAATATCGCACTACGATGAAATCACATGATCTGAAACACATTGCGTTTCACAATGTTACACATTTGCATAGGGTACCAAAACGCATATTACACCGGATTGGTGGATGTTGAATGGTGTGAATGCAGCGCAGTAGAGAAAAAATGGGATGATGGAGGTGGGGGAGGGTAGGGTGGTGGGTGATGTGAGGGGATGTGAGTGATGCTATAGAGATTGATGCAATGGGATGATAATGACGACTGTGAATATGAGAAAAAAAATATTGTGATGGAACTGAGAATAATGGAATGTTGATGATTAGTAATAGTGGTGATGATGATAATAATGGGTAGGGAAAATATGGTGTGGGTTGTGAGGGCGGCGTGATAGGTGAGAAGTTGTTTTGTAAAGTTAACGGTCGGTAGTTCTGTTCATGCCGTTGGGGGTGAGGGTGTTCACCAGGCCAATGAGATATTGCTCCTTAGCTCGACGAACACTCTCTCGTTTGTCATTAAGTCTAAGTAGTGGTGTGATGGCAAGGTCGTTGATGGTGTGTGCTGGGCTGCAGAAATGTTCTGCAACTCCAGACTTGTCTTTTTTGTTGTTGATAATGTCTCGTCGGTGTTCGTTAAATCTGTCTTTAAGTCGTCTGCTAGTTTGTCCGATGTATTGGCAGTTTTTGTTTCCGTTATGTAGACAGCGTTTGCATTGTAATGCGTATATGACGTTGGTGGAGTTGCAGTCCAGTCGTTGTTTTATGTCGTAGTTTTTGTCAGTGTTAGAAAAATTAAATGTTGTAGTCCTGTCTGTGATATGTTGGCATGTTAAACAGTTACGTCGAGAGTGGCATTTGTAAGAACCTATGGGATCACTGGGTGTGGCATTTTAAAGCTTTTCATTTAAAAGCTTTTCATTTGCATTTCAAATAAAGCTGTGGCCGTCAATAACGGTTTCACAAATTTGATATCGAATGTCAATATGTGTCATACCTTCAAATGCTGCTCCGAATGGAATTCCTCTTTTATCTTCGCTAAGTGCAAGCATATTGAAAAAGCTCTTGATTTTGTCATTCGAGTCGTATGTTTTGGTGTATAGACCCCAGTTGTGGTTGTTGTACGTGATGGCTTGGTTCGTCATCTGCTCTTGTAGAGAATATGGAAGGTCTTGGAACATGACGCTCTTCTTTGCATGCTCAGTAAACTGTACCTAACAAATGAGAATAAAAAGTTCAGCAATACACCAAGGCTACATTCTTGATGCAAAGAGATTTTAAGACTGGCATTGGAAGTTTTTCAGAAACCCTGTTCACCGTTCATTGATTAATAGACAGCAACAAAAATCAGGTATCAGGCATCTGATATGCAAATAGGGAGATAGAGGCGGAAATTTCTTCAAATTATTTGGTAAACAAGTAGGGGCGCTGGAAGCACGGGGGCAGCCGGGGCAGTATAAGAAATGCACATGTTTACCAGTTGTAAAAGGTCTCGACAAAGTGAGCGCTGTTTAGAGAAAGCGAACAGCACCAAATTGCATTGCAGACTTTGTGTCAAATTACGGTGAACTGAATGGTTTTCCCACGAAATTTTATGAAGTGGTCGATGCGATAAACCAAGTAATCAAGAACTGTTTTGACCAGAAAGATGTTAGAAATTTTATCAACATAAAAAGTGCATGATTCCTTGATAAGCCGTACAGAATATCAAGGGCAATCAAGGACAAGTTGGCCTGTATATCCGACCTCATCAAACTGCCAACTTTGACAGAAGAACTTAAAGAGCTACCCACATACATTAAAATTTTTAATAAAGAAGTTGCTAAACCAATAAGAAAGGTGACAAAAGTAGAAACTATTTGTTTGATCATGATTTAGAGGAGTGCCATAAAGAATGCCTGCTAGAACTACACAAGTTATTGCAATTGTATTAATCTTTTGCACTTTCATCTGCAACTACAGGTCGTACCTTCAGCACAATGTAGCGTATTAAGTCATGGTTGAGGTCAAACTTGACAGGCAACAGCCTAGACAACTCGATGTTTACACAACGACCGTATGGGCGGTATTTGTACAGAAAAGGCTGCAAGTGGATTCTTTGCAAGATCCGAATGACGACAAGAATATTTTCGAAAATTGTAGGTAGCAAAGTACTACTTTATGTCATATTTCTGTTCTGATTAAATATAAATTCTATTATAGTTTCATATTCTATTGGATGGTAGTGGGAAAAAGAAGAAGAGGCAGACCAGAGAAGCAATGGATAGATAACAAAAAAGAATGAGCAATGCTGGAGATTGATGAAATTATGAAGAAAGCCAGAGACAAAAAGCAGTGGAGGCTGATTATGAGGAAAGCATCTATATGCCCCTACGGTCGTGAGACCACGGGTTGATGATGATGATTCTATTATAATTTTAATATTAGTCATTTAATATTAGTCAGACCCTTTTTGAGTTGCTGCCCCCAGCGTCTTAAAATGCTTGCGGCGCCCCTGTAAACAAGTTGTTCTAGCTATATTCACCGTAAATACATTTCACGTTTTAAAAGTGATTCACAAAATACCAGGAAAATCCCTTCGATGTTAGGTGCCACAGAAAATGCATTCTACAAGACATGAAGTTACTAATTCCTATATAGTATCAAAATATAGTACAAAATTGTTTTAAAGATATTTAAAAGAATCTAGAAAATCAATAAAATGCTTACTTTTAGGTCAATATGACTGGAGTATGTCCGTTGCAACAGATTTACACCGGACACAATTTTGAGCAACATCTGAAGACCCCAGCACAGGCCAAGCAATGGGAAATAATCATCTTTGTCGTTAGCTGCTTTTGCATATTCAAAGACCTTAGTAGCCACTTTCGAATAGTTTGACGTTTCTAAGCTGAGATCCCCACCAGGAAATATCACACCATTGAGAGAATCCAACAATGCGGTGAGCTCCGAGTCTGAGACCGTATCCTTTATTGGAACAACTCTCGCCCCTTTTCAAAGAGAAAACAAGATGATTTTCGCATTGATAATACAACATCACGTGCTGTTTATTGAAGACACATAGTCAAAAAACTAAGACTACATACACATTAGACACCAAAAATAACTTCTGAAGAAATATCTTCGGACAAAAAAATTTCAGCCAGTTTTCAGAAATTTCGGACAAAAGCAAACTTTGTTCCACCTTGCAAATTTTTAACATCATGTTGCACCTTATTAAGCTCACTAAAGCCTATGCTTTTCTTGATTTAACATAAACAGTCACATGTGTTGGAAGGGGTCTTTATTAGAAATTCCCGTTCTCTTAATAGGGATTATGCCCACTATTTCGAAAGAATTCACAATCATTCCAGGATTGCCGCCAAAATCACTGAGGGTCCAAACACTACAAGAAAGTGTCGTACACTTTTGGTGAAAAT